CACATTTTTCTTTAATACTTTCTTTGTCTTACATATCAAATATTAATTTTTATCTTACTTTACTAAATAGTAGTACATTACTGTCATTACTCTCCCTGACTTAATTTGCATATTTTTCTTGAAAATTCTGTGAATGTTTCACTTATAAAACATTTTAAAATATTGGTCAATCAGGTGTGCCTTTAGGGTTTTTTCCCATAATAATGCATAGGCCAGAGGTGCTGTCTCATTTCCCTTGAGTGTAATACAGATAGGAGTTGGAAAATAAAATATTTCTTGTTATATGAGGTTGCCAAAATATTATCCATTAATGGTATTATTTATCTGTTAGATTCATTTCAGGACAATCATAATATGACATGTAGGTGGAGCTATTAGACACACATGGACATGGACATGTATACATATAAGCATATATACATACACATACATACATATATATGTCTAGGTACTTGTAAGTTTAGTTTATAGGCACAAATAATGTTAAATGAGCATATTCAGAGTTCCCTTGGGAAAGGCAGGTTTCCGTTACCAGTCAATTTGTTAGATAAACTATACTTAAGCCTGACCCCATCACTTATCTCTTTTTCAAACTCCAGTGGTCCGGGGTACATCATATCAAATTCACTCAGGCCACTCTTAGTGGTCAGACTGAAAAATTAAAGTTTCCTCTAACTTTGGAATGTGTTTGCACTAGTTAGTTAGAACTTGCCAACATCTTGGGAAAAAAAAAATCACATTTTGTGATGACACCTGTGTTAAGCTGTGGAGAATTAGAAAAGGAAGCAAATTTGGGGGGATTCTTACTCCCCTCGTTATTGCCGACAACTAAACATTTATGTTTAACAGTGTAGACATTTTATTAAGCACATGGACTTTTAAATAATGTATGGAAGAAATGGTGGTTGTTTTTACAGAAAACTTTGACACAAAGAAGAATGAATTAACGAGACAGGGGTTTATGGACCTGCATCTGATGGAGGCAAACGATCGAGGAGGAGACCCTCTGGACCTGTGGGTAACTGTGCACTCGATGGGCTACAATAAGGCTCTGCAGCTGACGGAGGTAAAGCACTGACACTGACAGAAGCCTTGCTGTCAGGATATTCTTGAACATTCTTGAACAGTCTCTGACACGTGACTTTAGGCACTCAAATCCTTGACTCTCTCCTGGCCACATCAGTGTGTTTCTCGTACTTTACTGAAGCTCATGTTCTTCACTAAAATGTAGTTACTGTCAACTATGATTAATCAGAGATTAAAAATGTTGAGCTTTGATGTACAGAGGGAAATTAGTAATTACAATGTGTATGTTTTTGTTGGAACACAGTCCAAGACTGGAGTTGTGTGAGGGGAATTCTGAGTGCTTGTGAGAAAACTCTAAGAAAACAAAACAAAAGTCTTGTGACCTCAGTTTCTTCAAAAACTTGGAATTGTTCTTGGAATGCGCTTTCATGCCCCTCCCAGGTATAGTGGACGGAAGTGAGTTACTTCAGAATGTTCATTACAGCTGCTACTATTCGTTCATGCACCTCTATGGAAAACATGTTTTTGCCATGGGCAACTTGTCTTTGTGATTGAACACTATTCTTAAGTGACTTCTCAACCCTCAGAGTATAAATTGCCTGATGCTCTGAATGAAGTTTGCTATTGCATGAGACTTTAGTCGGCCTCATTGTTAGGTCCCACTTTCCCAGGCCAACAACTTATTTTAAATTGGAGATGTCTGTTTGAATTGCCAAAATCTTATTTATTAATAGGGAAACGTCATCCTAAGAGAAAGAAGCTTCTCTGAGAATGAGAAGATGTGTCTATAGAGAGTTTGGAGTGTTTGTCTTTTTAGAGATGGTGCCTCTTGGATTAGTGGTTATAAGACATTGGAAGGAGTGACTGGCTGATCCCAAGCACTCTGTGTGTGCTGTACCTGTCGCCATCTCATTGGCTGTTAACATAGTAGGACAAAGTTAAACAATACTCCAAGTCCAGGGGAGGAGGAAAATTAGGCCTTTTAAAATCTGTGTCATGTTTAAAATAAAGGACTTAGGAGTTTGAGCTCAAGCCGCATATTAAGTAGCAAGATATTTATTCTCTTAAACTCATCATTTTCTCATAAATCAATCAACTTTTTTAATATTTAATGTGTGCAAGTGTTTTGATTGCATGTATGATTGTGTACCACATGCATGTCTGTGTCCACAGAAGTCAGAAGATGTCATATCTCTTAGCACTAGAGTCACAGGTGACTGTGAACTGCCATGTGGGTGCTAGGAAATGAATCCAGGTCTCCTGGAAGAGCAGCCAGTGCTCTTAACCACTCAGCCAGCTATTCAGCCATCTTTCCAGTTGACTTGAGTCAACTTAAAAAGGTAGTACTGGTAATGACAGATTTAAAATTTAAGTACTTTGAGACTTTGACTAAATCCCTAGTTTAGATATCATTCAGTATTCCTCAGGAGTATGCTTTCAGGAAAGTTCTCTCTCTTTCTCCTCCCAACCCCTTTTCTTTTTATCTCATTTTTTCTCTTGCCATTTTTAGTAATTGCATGTGAGGTGTTACCATGATTTTTTTGTTTGTTTGTTTGCTTTGTTTTTTAAGACAGTGTTTCTCTGTGTAGCCTTGTCTGTCCTGGACTCGCTTTATAGACCAGGCTGGCCTCAAACTCACAGAGATTCACTTGCCTCTGTCTCCTGAGTGCTTGGATTAAAGATGTGTGCCACCACGCCCTGGCAGAGTTACCGTAATTTTTAAATATCCCTCTTTAGCCTAATATTTTGTGAATTATACATTTTAACCATGGTTGCAAAAGCTACTTCCAGTCTATAAACAGTACTGATTCTGCTACACATGTTTTTATCTAATGGAAAAAATTTTAAAAGCAATAAAGCAATTTGAAAACATTTAAAACCATTTATTATAATTACAAGTAAGAAAGACTTATGAGGTAAATTTTAATTTGACTTAAATTTATTTATAACTTTGAATAGATAATGTGTCCCCATTATTTGAAATTTAATGAAACGGGGCTGAAGTTGGTGCTCTGTTGATAAGAGTGCGTCCCTAGAATACCTGAGTACAATCCCCAACACCACATCAACTGGGCACGGTAGTGTATGCCAGTTCAAGGTCATCTTCAATTACATAGCAAGTTTGAGGCTAGCCTGAGCTACATGAGAAAAAAAAAAAAACACCATAAAATAAAATAAATTTTTACAGGAAAAAATACATGCAGCAGCAAGTATCAAAGGATAGTGTCCTAGTTTGTTTTCTATTGCTGGGACAAAAGCCATGACCAAACGCAAGTTAGAGAGGAAAGCTTATTTCAACTTAGACTTCTGGGTAATAAAGGGAACTCAAGACACTCAAGAGCAGCTTTAAGAGCCTCCAAGACTGCATGATATGGTTTTGTAGGTCTGAAATCTTAGCATCTCGGAAGGTGCTAAGCTGACGCAGGAGGCCTTTGAGTTTGACACCAGCCTGAGCTGCATAGTAAACTGAGAACATTCTGGAAAATATAGCAAGACCCTGTTTTGAAAAAATAAGAGAGAGAGGCAGAGGCTGATGCAAAGGCCATGGAGAGGTGCTGCTTACTGACTTGATCATGATGGCTCTCTCAAGCCTGTTTTTTTTTTTTTTGTTGTTGTTGTTTGTTTATCATTTATTACAATTTATTCACTTTGTATCCCAGCTGTAGGCCCCTGCCTCATCTTCTGCCTCTGACTTTCTGCTCTGTTTGAATTCCTGTCCTGCCGTCTTTCAATGATGGACTACTATGTAGAAGTGTAAGCCAAATAAACTCTTTCCTGCACAAAGAAAAGAGACAAAAGGAAATGCAGCAAAAACACTAAAAACCTCTGAAAAAGCGAGACATGCTAGAAGAAGTGACTCAAAAGACCCTCTGCAACCATATCGCCCACATTTTCCAGGTGTGGCCAAGAAAACAAGTCCCAAAGATGCTCTGACTTTACCTCATGCAGCCTTTTAGTATGTCTTTTAATTGGTAGAAACCCATTTACCTGTAATGTTAACCCAGGTTTATCCAGCCTTTGGTGTAGGCTCTGCCTAAGTTTATCAAAAGAAAATCCAGGGCTTGCTTGATTCACTTGTTTTGGATTAAAGAACCTAAGCTGGTTTGCTGTGTCCTTAGGTCTTAGCCTGTTTGCTGTTAATCCCTGTGTCCACAGACATGAGCAAACACTTTTTGAAAAGTTTCTGTGTGTGTGTGCAAGTATGTACATGTGCACGCAGGTGCCCACAGAGACCAGAGCTTTAGATTCTGTAGAGCTGGCGTTAAAAGTTGGTGAGATTCCCAACATGTTTGTTTGGAATCAAACTCTGGTGTTTGTAAGAACAAGTGCTCTTCACCACTTAGATTGTCCAGCCCTGAGTGAACAATTTTTTTTGAGTGGTATAACTCCTGAAAATGGATCACTGTCTTAAGATTTTTATTCAAAAAAGTTTATAGTTGGTTTCTTTTATCCATCGTTTCAGATACTTGTAATCTGTTGTAGTTTGAAGTATTAAATGGAAGCATCCAGAACTTAACATTCTAAGTTACCTTCTACCCTGAGTCACATAATAAGATCTCAGCAGATCCTGCCATCCTCAGGCAGGACTGTCCTTCCGTCTAGGTTCTGTGTCAGTCTTGGTGGCAAGCACTTTTACCCACTGAGCTGTCTTGCTGGCCAAATGAATCTCAAATAAAATGATAAGCACTTATAGTAAGTTGATTTGTTTAAAATGTTACAGAAGGCTAAACCAAGATTTTGTTTGCTTCCCCATCAGGCATGTCCATTTGTCATCAATATCTATGCAGAAAGATGCAAGCCAAGAATTAAAGCTGTCCATATGGAGGCATGCAGTGGGCAGCTTGAGAAGGCCATTTGCAAATATGTCCTCGATAGAAGTGATTCTAAAGTTATGAATGGCTATGAAAATATAATCGTACATACTTGCAATTTTGACACCTGGATAACATCAATTATTGAAAATAAGGTATTGAAGCTTTATGCAGTGGCAGTATTCTAGCCAGTGAGGTTTATCTGAGGCACAATTATTGCTAAATTGAAAATAAGGTATCGATTATGAGGTCATTTTCCTTATTTTGGTATAAAGTTTAATAATAAAGTTATCTTCCTTTTTACATTATAAATATCCTACTGTATTTGTAATATTTATAATGGAAAATTACTCTCTTTAGTATTTATAAATTAAACTTGGCATGTTACTCTCAATTCAAGACCACTGTTTTTATTTTAAAATGTGAACATTAAAATTTGGAGATCAGTGAAGAGTCAGGATAATTTAGGTACAAAATAAGGATATTATTTTTGTTTATATAAAAGATTACATATTTTTAAAAATCTTCGTTTAGTTTGTTATGCTGCAGGACCACCAGGAAGTATGAAACATGCTCTCTGCTTTCAGGTTGCGATGCTTAGAAAGACAAATTTAATACTCTCAGAGAGACTAGAAATAAGTAAACATGAAGTCATGTAGTGCCGTTCGGATGCACAGCAGTTTTCTCCTGCCTGAGTCTTTTTTAATGAGACCATAGAACCTGGGGACCATGTCTGACCGGGGTGGGGGTGGGGGCGGCAGAGTAGGATTTTAGCTTTGTCTCAGTCTACCTGACCAGCGCCAGGTTCTCTGGGGTGGATAGTGTTCAAGGAATGATAGCTGAACTTGACCTCTTGCCTCCACATGTGTACATGCTCACATGTTCACCCACATAAACCACATCAACGTGTGCACACACGCACACACATGCATGGGGAAGACATAGTGTGAGGGATTGCATGGAAGGTCAGAAACAGGGGTAGAGTAGATGTAGATCATATGTGGCCTCTAGGATGCTCTTCAGGGACACAAAACATGCCTGGCATGCAGTTCATGTGAAAGAAACATCTTACTGAGTCAGCGAATCAGAGAGGAACCCACTTAAATGGATGTGTCAGGTGTATTAGTTGGAAGGGAGGATCTGAATGAATGGGTGTTAGAGAAATAGAGATTTTGAAAGAAGAGAAAGACATTGCTGTAATAACCCAAGGTTGAGCTAACTTGCTGTTGCCGTCCACAGTGGTCTTGGAATGAAAATTAAAGGGACAATCCAAAGCACATTTGAAAGAAATGCTTATATCATTAGTGATCAGTTAGAATGAAATGAATGAGAAAACCCGTGGCGCCAAGCAGAATGAGTCAGCTGGTTTGTATTAATTTTTTAGTGGACTGGATTCTATAAACAAATTTTCAGGTTTTATTCTGAGATTTATATTTGTATTTATTTTTCAAAACTAAAAACTTATCATTTTCTACAGTCAGACAACAAAGTGATTATTCACATCAACAATGAACTGAGTAAAAACTGTGTCAACAACAGAGGACTCAACATCTTTGCAGTAGAAGTGGCACCAAGATCCACAATGGTAAATGTTACTCTCTGACTACAGCCTTTTGAAGAAAAAAAAAAAAAATTCACTATTAATGCTATGAGTAAGCATGTGGCATGCAGTGAAGTTGAGAGTTACTTAAATGTGGCATTCATAGCACTGAATACCCTGTTTCTTCTATAGGAGAGTTAGTGGGATTTTTGATTAGTTTTGGATTCTTTCTCATGTAATGCAGGCTGGCCTTAGACTATGTAGCTAAGGCAGATCTTAAACTCCTGTTCTTCAGTCCTCATCTCCCCAGTGCCAGGATTACAAGCCATCATGCCTGGTGGAGGCTTTGCTTTTAATTCCGCCCCGTCACTGTTGGTTGAGCAGCTGTAGGGTGGTCATTTAGCGTCTCTGTTCTGGTTTAAAATTTGTTTTGCATTGTGTATGTGCACGTGTGCATGCATACATATGTACATTCATGCCATAAAATGCCTGTCAGACTTAGAGGGCACTTTATCAGCTGAGCCATCTGCCAGCTCTGCCCCAGGGTAAGGGTCACATCAAAGGATATCACAAGATTAGTGCAAAGATAAAAATAAAGTTATATGAATGAAAGCACTTTCAAACATCATATGCCAAATAACGTGACTAACAGTAGTTACTTTTATAACCCAAAATACACTTATTTATACTATTAGGATTGTACAGTATCACGTGAGAAAAGAAACCTCTTGAAGTTTTAAAAACCTAACTATGTCAAGAGCCAGAGATAGCTATAGTTTGGGTATTAGCAAGCTCAGTTTTTCTGATGAGATCACAAATTGAAAGGCAAGAACGGATCAACAGACACGCAGGCTGTGGAGAAGGAACAGAGAAAAAGCTTACTAGTGTATTTTATTTTTACTCCCCCTCCCAGCCCATGTTTTCTGTGAAATTCCAGAACCTTCTTAGGTGATTTAAAAGTAAAGAGTAAAACCAGCTTATTCTTTAAGTTTCTCCAATAAAGTCTTAGGAAATGAAGTGCAGAGCAAACTCAGTGAGTGAAGTACATGCTATGCATCCTCAGACCCTTGTAAAAGCCAGGCGTGGTGGTGCACAGCTTGTAAACACAGTTCTGGAGGAGAAACCAGCAGACCCCCGAGTACTGTCCGGAGAGTCTAGCCTCATCAGCAGGGTTCGGGTTTCCAGAGAGGGGGGGTGTTTGAGGAATGACAGCTGAGCTTGTCCTCTTGCCTCCTGATGTGTAGGTGCTCCCGTGTCACCCACATGAACCTGTGTACACACATGTACACAAACGTGCATACACACACAATTTTAGACAGAGCTCTAGGCTTGGAGGAGAAAGGCGGTTTACCTCCCACCGCCCTTCCCCACCCACCTTCACACAGGAGAACTGCTCTAGCAGAGGCCGAGACTGGGTCTCCCGTCAGTCCTCAGACCATCCACTGTCAGTCCATGCTTGGCCAGAGAGGCTCAACTTTTATCTGGACGCAGCTGCTTCCCTCCCCTTCCTCTTTGGGTTCTTGAGACTAAGACTGAGACTCATTGTGTATCCCAGGCTAGCCTCAAATTTGGAATCTTCTGGCCTTCACCTCCTAAGGTTATACCAGTAGGTAGTGTACTGTCACACATATGTTTTTAAAAAACTGTAATCATCACTCTTTTATTAATGTATACTTTGTGTTGCCCAGGCTAGCCCAGTGGTGCTCCTGCGTAAGCTTCCCAAGTATTTTCGTTCATGCACATTCATGATATGGCATAGAGCACTGTCCCCAGCCTCGCAGGGGTGTTTTTTGGTTTTGTTTGTTTGTTTGTTTGAGGCAGGGTGTCATTGGGGAGCCCTGGCTGGCCTAGAACTTGTTGTGTAGACCAGGTTTCCCTTGAACTCACAGATATCTGCCTCTATCTGCTTCTTGAATGCTTGGATTAAAGGTGTGTTCCACCACACTTAGTTTCATAGGCCTAGAAATGCCTTATTGAAAATTAGAAAATAACAATAATTTACCAAGAAAAATGAAAGCTTTCTATTTTTATTTGCAGGTTTGTCAACATGTAATGCCCCTGAATGAACGACAAGATTGGATATATTATTGTGTGTATTCCCTTATATCCTAAATAATTCCACTTGGAGCTATCAAACTAAGAAGTATTTTAGATCGAATCTGTTATTTATTAACTAAATGCTGTTTCATGTAACTGGTATACTTAATCTGTTTCATTTCTATGCATTTATATTTTATGTCCATGTTATATATTTTATTATTAAAATACAAATAGTGTTTTAAAAATGTGTGACTGTCTTGTTAATTTAGTGGGAAATATAAGTACTTTTTTAATAAATGAAAAAATATAGAAAGGATTTATAAAAGTAATATTCAATATACACTTTTGGTTTGTCTTGTAAAAAACAATATAAATACAAAACCAGCCATTTAAGGATCTAATTATTAAAAGGATGAAGTAGAATTGAAGAAACCTGTTTCTGTGTTAGGAAGCCAAAACCTGTTGGCAATAGCAGGAATAGTCTGTCCTAACCTACCAGCAAATTTATTGCTTGCTTTTCACAGAGGGCACAATGGAAGCAGTTGAAATTAAACCTATGTTTCAGTTAAGGAAATAGTGTGTAAAATGAAAAAGGACCTCAAGCAATTAAAAGCTATCAGCAACAGAGTACTTGGCCAGGGTCGGCTTTTGAAATATGAATACCATCTGACAGATACATTTTTTTCTACTATATAGAAGCATATATTGTAAATGTTGTTTGGAGTTTGGACCAGTAATGTAGGTATCTGTAAAACAGGTTGTCATTACCTCACTGAACTCTTCAGATGGATGTCCCATTAAAGGTAGTGAAATGTACAATTATTTTATTCATCAACAAATGCTTTATAAGTTCAGCATTCGTGGTCATCTCGCTCATTTCACCTCATACCAAGTTACAGAAGATTGTGTGATGCTAAAACCATGTAACAAAGTTGTTATATTTTCCTAAAGTAGTATAGGGCTCTTACAGTCAGATGATGGGTTTTATGATATCATCTTGCAAACATGGAGACTCAACAAAACAAAACAAACAAACAAACAAACAAAACATGGAGCATTGGAGCTGTGCTCACTACATAGGCACAGCCTGGCTACAGAAACCTCTGCTCCATCGGTGCTTTGGCAGCTGGGGTAGGACTCACTATCTTAGAATTCTCATCTCAGTTAAACTTTCTTTTTCCTTCTAACTTTAACATTGTACAGTTCTGATGTTTTAAAACTAACTTGTTAGGTTTCAGATACTATAAGAACTTCTTAAATTACTGAATTTAATCACTGCACTGATTTACTACTAGGTCTTGGCATAGACAAGGTTTTTTTTAAGCTAGTGGCCTTCTCTTAGATCTATTTTTGTGTAGGTTAAATATGCAGCAGAAATGTGATATGCTACATTTAATTATATCTTGGGTATAAGCCAGGAAAATAGAACTGTATTTCTGATTTTGGCCACTAGGAGGCGAATGCATATTAGAGGGGGAAGGTGGGAGGAGCAGGGAGAAAGGGAAGTAAGGGAGAGAGGGAGTCTGGAAGGGAGGGAGGGAGAGTTTTCAGCACTGTTAACCTCTTTATGCCTAACAAGGCTGTTTTGGTGAGCTATGTTGTGCTTTAAGGCTGTCTGCACACCCAGACATATGTGCTCTTTCTGAATAGAAAATACATAAAAAACTACCTTCTTTAGAAAATGAGTCTTCTCTTAAAAAATACTGACTTGCAGGT